CATGCCTGAGGCCCTGGGTTCGATTCCTCAGCACCACATAAGCAGAAAAAGCCGCAAGTGGCGCTGTGGCTCAAGTGGTAGAGCGCTAGTCTAGAGCTGAAGAGCTGAGGGTCAGCACCTAGGCCCAGAGTTCAGGCCCCACGACCACCAAAAATCAGAAACAAAAAACTAATGGATAGGTCAGAGTTTTCTACTTAAGTTACACCAAAACACAATTAAAAAAAAAAAAAAAGAGTAGCAACTTTAAGGAAGTGTGGAGAGTCTGGAAGGGTCACTGCCTGGTCAGGAGCACGGCCAAGTATGACGGCCAGCCGGCTCCCATCATGGCCAGCGGGCTCCCAACAGGCCCCGTGCTGTCCCCACTGCTGCTAGCATCTGACGTACTCTCCTGTCCACCTGTCATGACTTCACCAACAGAGGTGTAGCAGACAGAAATCAAAGAGTGTCATTTAATTTCTTAAATTGACTATTTGGAGAGAGTTAGACTTAGCCCCAATTTTATGACGTGCCTGTGAATTTGGTGTCAAACGCAAACCTTATGTCCTTAAGTTCTCCTCTGCTGTCTACGTTTTCAGTCTGAGCTCCCATGTTCAAGTCTCGGAGCCATTTTGCTTTGATGTGTGGCATTAGTGAAAGGCCTCCACTTATTTGTCAGCTGCAAGGTCTCTCTCGTCCACTAATCTTGTTGAAAGAATCATCCTTCATGAGATGTTCAGGCTTCCAGTGAAGAGTCATATCACTGTACAGAGATTTCTCTTGCAGGCTCTGTCTCATCATTCTGAGATTTTGTCTAAATATTAGGATATACTTTTCAGACTGAAAAACAAACCACCCACCCACCGCTGCGATTTTGACTGGGGTTGTGCTGAATCACTAGATCACTCCAAGTAACACTGAGCTTTCCAGCACATGAATGTAGACGGATTTCCATTTATGGCTTTAGTTGCTTTCAGCTATGGTGTGTAGTCCTCACTTTACAAATCTTTCATCTCTTGATTCCTTTGTATGCTAGTGTAAGTTGAACTCACACTGTTCCCTTTTCGGCTTGTTCTTTGTCAGTAAAGAAATGCTCATTTTTTGGTGTGGAATGTGGAATGTGACTCTTGCTGCATTGCTAAGTCCACTTCGGTTCTGAGTCTGTTGTGGAATCTTAGGTTTGCCTCACGTGTGCTCCTGTCATCTGGAGATGAGTCGCCTCACATCCTCCTTGCTTGTCTGGATGCCTGCTTTCTTTTCTCTAACGGCTCTGCCAAGAAACTTTGGTACTTGTTGGATGGAAATGGTGGAAGTGAGCACTCTACTCTTGTCCAGATGTGGGAAATGCTTCGGGCTTCCCCAGCGGGGAGGATGTTCACTGTGTGATGACACAGTAGCCTTCTGCTTCCAGTTCATTAAGTGGCTTTGATCACAAAGGGGGGTTGAATTTGATCTAACGCTTTTCCTGCATCAGTGAAGATGGCTGAATCTAATGTGGTATAGTGATGGATTTTCATCTTGAACCATCCTTGCATTCTAGAAACCAACCCTACCTTAATATATTTCCTAGTGGTACTGAGGCTTTTTCTGAACCCATGTCCCAAGGGCTGATGATCAACACAGTAATCCCCCTGCATCCACAGGCACACAATCCAAGCCCCCAGGGATGTCTGCAGTTGTCTGGGACCAGGTGACACTCTGGCCTGGGACCGGCCACACGCACAGTGGTGATGCCGTCCATAATGCTGCCTGGTAACATTGCGCTCTAGTTTGGGGTGCATGGATTTTGTTTATACAGTGTTGAAATTCACTAGAGATGTTTCACAGACTACATACATCCCTGCTGCTAAGCAACATGACCATATATACACTATACCTATCATAAAGTTGAATTTATAAATTTGGCACAATTACAGGTTAACATCAGGGGTAGAGAGCTTGCCTTGCATGTGTTCAGACAGGGCCTCCATCCCCGAGTGGTGGCAGTGCTGGTAGGGAGATCAACAATAAAATACGACAGTTATAACATGCTGTAATAAGACAGCTGGCATCACTACTCTTGTGCTTGGGTGCCATTAAGGAGACGCCCCCTTGAAAACCACTCCTGTGCTTCATATCACAAATTGACATGTGTCTGTTAGACAGTTGCCATTCCATGAGTCATGGCTACACTGAGCTTCGTTCTTCCTGCTCAGATCTGTGGCTGCACCCCTCTGTTGTCTCCTCTACTATTTTTGCCTTGTGTATAGAATTCCTCTGTTGATTCAGTTTTTCTTTTTTTTTTTTTTGTCAGTTGTGGGGCTTGAACTCTGGGCCTGGGCACTGTCCCAAGAGCTCTTTCACTCAAGCCTAGTGCTCTACCACATTGAGCCACAGCTCCACTTCTGGTTTTCTGGTGGTTCATTGGAGATGAGTCTCATAGACTTTCCTGCCCGAGCTGGCTCTGAACTGCAGTCCTTAGAGCTCAGCCTCTTGAGTAGCTAGGATTACAGGCATGAGCCACCACAGTCAGCTTGATTCTGGTTTTGTGTAGGATTTTGCTTTTGTGTGTCTCTGTCTACTAGGTCTGTCAGCTGGGCATTACTAGGGACGACAGCTTGTCGGCTAACCTGCTGTGGCCTTGCATCTTGTCTTTCTTGTTGATGGGGGGGGCCTTTCCCACAGCTCCTCTTTCCTCAAAGCTCGCTGCCTGGTTGGGGTTTGGGTTGGGAAAGGTGGTTACCCATCCATCTGTTACCATCCCTTGCCCCAGGCATCTCCGGATCCTTTACGTTCACAAGCTGTGTCCGTGTTCCATGCGGCACATCAGGTGACAAATGTACAGAGTAATTAATCCTGTCCCGTTCCTTCCAGTTAGCACGAGAGCTGGGCTTCTGCCTCTGGAATAAGACTGTAGGGTTTTCAATGTCTTGATTAACTAGGATGAAGCAAACCTCTGCATTATCTGATCCTGAGAGATGACAGCACAGAATGTGGACAGTACGGGTCCCCCTCACTTTTCAGGCACACCTCAATTTTGTTCAGGGACCATTTCTGCAGTTTCACAATGGTTTCTGTCTCTAGGCATTTAGTTTATTATTAGCTAGAACAGTAATAATTCCTCTTTTTTTTTTTTTGCCAGAATTGGGACTCTTAACTCAGGGCATGGGCACTATTCCTTAGCCTTTTCACTCAAGATTCCTGCTCTACCACTTGTACCACACCTCCACTCTGGCCCTTTGCTGGTTAATTGGAGATAAGTCTCAGATTTGTCTTCCCAGGGTTGGCTTCAAACTGCAAACCTCAGATCTCAGCTTCCTGTGTCGCTAGGATTATAGGCGTGAGCTACTAGCACCAGGCCTACTTATATCCCTTTTACGTGTTCTTTTAAGCCAAGCCTTTTAAAATTGTAGCAAATTATACAGCTTTATTGTTGGTGAAATTTCTTGCAGTCCACCTCAAGGCCTCTGAGAGGCAGAGACGACTCGTTCTCATCAGCACCACTGCTGCCTGTGGTGTGTCAGCATCCGTGCTTTCTGCTTACACGAAGGTTGAACACATGACTGACCACATTGTATGTAATAAGAAGTTGTTAAAGGAATCCCAAGGATTAGAGGAGGTTATCCTCTGAGAACGTGTTATATGAGTATTCATCCCTACTGAGGAGTCTGAGATTGGAGGATCTCGATTTGAAGCGAAGCCAGGCAAGAGTCCTTGGGACTCTTATCTCCAGTTAACCACCAGAAAACCAGAAGTGGCGCTGTGGCTCAAGTGGTAGAGCGCTCACCCTGAGCTGAAGAGCGGAAGGACAGCACCCATGCTCTGAGTTCAAGACCCACAACCAACCAATTTTTCTTTTAAAAAAGGTACATCTAATCTTAGGCTCATTTTGTCAATATTTTCCATTAAAAAGAATCCCTTTTCCTCTACTGTTCAGCCAACTGTGTTTAATTCTGAAGATTAAAATCTCGCCTTTGCCTTCTATTCCGTGTGCCAGCCCTGAAGGACCAGTCTGTGTTGTGTTTAGTTGACCATGTGAACAAAGGGCAGATGACAGAAATAATGGAACAGAAACAGCCACATACAGCTGAAAACACTCACCAACTTTTCTCCGGACTTCCCTTAGAAATTACTACAGCTGGGCTGGGAAGTTGGCTCAGTGGTAGAGCGCTAGCCTTGAGCTGAAGAGCTGAGGGACAGCGCCCAGACCCGGAGTTCAGGCCCCACGACCGGACCAAAAAAAAAAAAAGAAATTACTACAGCTAAGAAAGTGAATCTTCATTTATCGTTTATAGAAACATCGAGAACAATCAGTTAAAAAAAAAATCGAGAGCAAAGGGACAAAAACAGGCATGTTCACCATCTGCGCTGCACTGTCCTGTCAGAAGGGGCCGGTCACACACGTCGCCACCGCGTGGACACGTGCCTCAGCAAAGGCTCAGAGAGGGGGCTTATTTCAGTCTGTCCCATAAAGATCTGAAGACGGCTGGGCCAGGTCTGCCCTGAGCCCCCAGGGCTCCTTTCCTCCCACGGAGCAGTGATGCTTCCTGGGGAGCAGGGAGAGGCTCACAGCCCACAAGGGCAGGAGAAGCTGGCAGCGTTGCACATAGGTGAGGGAGGTTTTGTGCAAAGCAGAAACCTCACCGCACCCCACGGGGCCTGAGGCTCTGTGAGGAGCCACGGCGGGTGCTGAGGCACACAGTGCTGCTGTGTGGTGCTCATTTCAATGATTTGTGTAATGAGAAATTCAAGCTGAAAGATCATTTTATTAGGACTGTGGAATTCACTCACTAACCCCTGTGGGTGCTGGGTTTTCACTTAGGAAAGCATGAGTTCACTTGCCCAAAGCAGTAAGATTTACGATCTGCATTTCCAGGGGAATTTTTTTTTCTTTTTTATTATTGGCATTAAGACCACAAAATACGGTGGTCTGTTTTTCTGGTCTTGTGATTCCCAGGCACGGACAGGGCAGGAGGAGAGTTCGCTTAGAAAACACTCATCAATGGTGGCGACGAAGCTGACAAGAGCAACTTTAGAGTACCAAAAGAACAAAAAATATTTCTTTTAATTTCTAGCAAGTAAAAATTCAGTAGTAATATTTGTTACAGCTTGTGGCATAAAACTGGTGGAGATGGAGAGCGATTTCTCAAGCCACCTGTACATTTTTGTCTCCTTTATCGAGAGGAAAAAAAACAAAAAACAAAACTTCACGATTGTGCTGAGATCGTCCAGCAGGCCAGGGCGGCCCCTGTCACCCGTGGAGGGAGACCATGTGCGTGGCCACGCCCGGCCTGCGTGACAAAGTGTCCTGCCCCTGGTATATTGAAAACACCCAAGTTCACAGCATGGATCCACGCTATAGACGGATTCACGCGCCCATGTCTCATCCTCTGGGGACAGGAGCAGGGATGGGGACGGGGATGGGGATGGGGCAGGGACTGGAACAGGGCAGGCGCATGCACACACGTGTGCCCTCACTTGGGCGAGCCCAGGTGGACGAGCGCCATGACGGTGGTGTAGCTGTGGAACAAGTCCGTGTCTGCCACGCCACTGCACTTGCTCAACGTGAAGTTGCCGGTGACAATGCGGTCGCAGCCGATCTCGCCGTTCCCGAAGAAGCCGAAGAGCGGCACGCCAGGGAAGAACCTGCGGAAAGTATCGGCCTCCACGTTCTCCCGGGCGCCGTAGAACTGGAAGCCGCGGCCCACGCAGGCGAACATGAGGCCCACAGTGTTGTGCTCGGGGATGTGCGCCGCCTTCAGCCGCTGCATGGCGGCCGCAGCCGCGGCCTCATCGTTCACGTCCTCGCCCAGGAGGACCGTGGCACTCTGCACTCGCGCCCCGCTGAACGACAGTCCCACCACCCCGGAGGCGTCGATGCTCAGAGGGCTCCTGGAAGAGAAGAGTCCAGAAATGACAACCCAGCCACGGGACAAGCATCCACATGCACGTTCCAGACGCCATTGCCCCGCGTCACCCTCGGGGTGGGGAGGATGCTGCCTGTGCTTAGCCTCAGACTCCCAGGTAAGAAGAGCCAGGGAAAGGACCAAAGGTAAACTGTGAGCCAGCGCCAGTGCGCACGCCTATCATCCCAGCGACTCAAGAGGCTGACATCTGAGGATCGCGGTTCAAAGCCAGCCCGGGCAGGAAAGTCCATGAGACTCACCTTGAATTAACCACCAGAAAACTGGGAGTAGAGCTAAGTCTCAAAGTGGTAGGGCACTAGCCGTGAGCAAAAGAGCTCAGGGACAGCACCCAGGCCCTGAGTTCGAGCCCCAGGACTGGCACACACACAAAAGTTAACTTGTTACCACCCGGAGAGAATGGCAGATGAAGAGAAGCAAGCCATGGCCCCTTCCAGCCACAACAGGGAGAGCTCAGAACCACATTCACAAAGACTTCTGACATTCACCCGGTGCCAGACAGCAGGATTGCCTGTGGCTCTCCACCACAGGGCTCGGCTCCCCCCCACGCCGGGACGCTGTGATCACACACTGCCGACGCGGCCTGGACCGCAGGAGCCCCCTCGCGTGCCCATCAGCAGGGCCTGTCCTCTGACGGCTGTCCAGAGGTGCCCCCTCCTCCCCTCGTGCCCACCCCAACACAGCGCTGGCTTCCATTTCTGCCTGACTCTGTTTCCCAGTTAGCAGATGAGTTCTTGCTCGGCCCTGCCTGCGCTGTGGTTTTCACCTCCTCTGTGACCGCTTGTCTTGCAGACGGGACATGGAGGCTCAGCTCACCAGAGCTGTGGAAGGAAGGCGCGGCGGGCAATTCGGGCCATCAGCCTGGAGACTGAGTTCAACAAGACAGCACAGCTGAGCTGGAAGCAGAATTCTTTCCAGTACATGCCTTGATGATAGAAAATGGAGCTGGGCCTGGTGGCTCGGCTCTCTAATTCCTAGTTATTCAGGAGGCTGAGGTCTGAGGATCACAGTTTGAAGCCAGCCTGGGCAAGAAAGTCCATGAGACTCTTATCTCCACTGAACCACCAAAAGTGATGCTGTGACACTAGCCTTGAGCACAAAAGCTCGAGACAGTGCTAGGCCTCGAGTTCAAGCCCCACAACCAACCAAGGAGAAAAAAAAAAAGAAGAACAATGGAATGATCTGGTTGGGACATGAGCACTTAATTCCTTAAAGTGCCCTTTAAAAACCCAAAGCAAGGCGCGCCCTGCGTGGACGTACTTGTGGGGCGTGAGGGACAGGAGCCGGTCCACGTGGCCCCCCGCCAGGATGATGTTGGTGTCGCTGAAGGCGCCGACCACGCGCTGCAGGTAGCTGGCGGCGCCCACCTTGTGGCAGTTGTAGCCGAAGACCAGGACCACCCGGAGCTCAGGGTTGTCTAGGAGCCCTGCCGAGACACGGAGCACAGCCTTGAAGCAGGCACGGATGTGAAACGAGACGCAGGGCCCGTCGGGGCGTTCCTCAACCGCCACGCGGGGCCTGAAGGGCTCAGGGCGTCACTTTTCATGAGCGTTTTGTTGCTGGAAGTTCTAGGGATTTTTGGTCGTGGGGCTTGAACTCTGGGCCTGGGCGCTGTCCCTCAGCTCTTCAGCTCAAGGTAAGCGCTCTACCACTTGAGTCACAGCGCCACTTCCGGTTTTCTGGTGGTTCATTGGAGTGAAGAGTCTCACAGACTCTCCTGCCCGGGCTGGCTTTGAACCGCAGTCCTCAGATCCCAGCCTCCTGAGTAGCTAAGATGACAGGCGTGAGCCACGGGTGCCTGGCTGGTCCTAAGGTTTTGCACACAGGGCTTTGTGTGTGCTAGGCAAGTTGTCCCCAACCCTTTTTTGCTTTGGTTGTTTTCAATAGCTTGGCTGCTATTCATGGTTTTCCCACTTTAACACCTGCGTGGTTTTGGGAAGGGGTCGGGTCAGCCCCTCACGCAGTGCACACGCAGGGTGAGCCACACAGCAGCCGGAGGCATGCAGGGCAGGATGCAGCCGGCGGCATGCAGGGCAGCCCTCGGCCCGCTCCACCCACAACCGCAGGGAGGAGGAGCTCCGACCCGTGTCCCAGGTGCAGCCCCCTCCAGAGTGCAGCTGCCGCGTGCGCAGCTCGGAGCTGGGTGAGCACCACGGGCCGCCTGCTCTCCTCACCTCCAGCCTCCGTCCTGTTTGTCCCTCTGCACCAGACAGACCACGCTCCCTCTCTGACACTGGGCTGGCCACGCCGGCCATGCCACCTCACACCTGGATCATCTGGGACCCGCCAGCCTCCCGGCGCCTCCTACCCGCACCCTAACCTCCGGCCCGGCTGGGTGTCCGTAATAAACCATCACTGCTGAAACCTCACCGCAGTACTTCATCTGCTTGCCTCCTCCGTTCCACACCCCGCACACCCCAGCACCCGCCCCTGCTTACAAAATGCGCCCTTCTGGGAAGTGGTCTCCAAAAAGGACGTTTTGGAGCGTGCGCGTGTGCAGTGGCACGGGTGTGGCCCGGGTGAGGTCCCCACGCTTCTAGAGCGGAGCGAGTGCGAGGACGGGCCAGCAGCACACGCCAGGCCCTCCGGGACTCAGGCCTTCTCTGCGGGCCTGCCAGTGCTCACGCCAAACGAAAACGAGGGAGGGGGAGGGGGGAGGACTTAAGAGGAGGAGGGGGGAGGGAAGGGAAGAGGGAGAAGAAGGAGGAGGGAGGGAGGAGGAGAAGGGAGGGAGAGGGAGGGAGGAAGGGAAGAGGAAGCAGACCAGAGCCCATAGCCGAGCCCCACCCACCCATCCCGGGCCACGCCTGTCACCCCAGCCAGGGAGACAGAGGCAGGACGGACCCTTGGGAGTTTGAGGACAGTCTGGACTATGTAGTAAGCTATTTTCTTAAAACAATAAATGAATGAGGGTACAAAAGAGGCAAGTGAGAGAACAGAGATTATCAAATCGACCCAGGCCAGGCTGCAAGTGAGACCCAGTGGGTGGGCCTCATGCTGGGCGTGGATGCCGCGCTGCTGGTTATGGAGGCCGTGCCGCTGGGCGCCGCTGGGCACGCAGAACTCCAGCCTCAGCCTGTGCTACCCAACAGGCCGTCACGGAGGATGGGAAGACTCACGGGGGAACAGGGAGGACATACGGGACACGGGGAGGACAGACGGACGGACACACACACACACACACACCATGTGGGGTGTGGGGGGAGGACCCATGGGGGACTGAGGAGGACTCACAGAGGATGGGAAGGAATCATGGGGGACCGGGGAGGACACACGGGTGACTAGGGAGGACTCATGGGGAGTGGGGAGGACTCATGGGGGACAGGGAGGACTCATGGGGAGTGGGGAGGACTCAGGGGGGACTGGGGAGGTCTTGGGGGAATGGGGAGGGCACATGGGGGACAAGGAGGATTCCCAAGGGTGCTCTGTCCAGGAGACACCACCCAGACAGACAAACAGGTTAGGCCACATGGCCTTGAATCAAGATCCAAAAGAACACTGTCTTCTCCACTCTTGCTCTATGTCTGCAGGCTCCTCGCCTTGAATCTAATCATCTGCTACTTCCTCAACCAATCCCCACTCCTTACCCTCTGCGGGGGGGGGGGGGGGGGGGGGGCCAGTGTAGGGGAGTGGCATGGGACAGAGCAGCTCCGCCTGAGACAATGCAGCTGGGCCCTCCAGGCTCACACCTGTCACCTTAGCCACTCAGGCGGCTCAGAGCTGAGGATCCTGGTCCAAGGCCAGACTGGGCAGACATATCCAAGAGACTCTTTATCTTCAAGCTGTAAGTGAAGGTGTGGCTCAAGTAGTAGAGTGCCAGCTTTGAGTGAAAAAGCTAAGGAAGAATGCCAAGGCCCTGAGTTCAAGCCCCAGTACTGGCACAAATACTAACAAGCAAAACCTTAGGCAACACGTATGCTCCTCCTTTATCTGGCCAGCAAACCAAATTTCCCTTTGCTGACTAATGCATACAGTTAGCGTGTATGAGCGCCCACACCAGGGCTTGCACTCAGGGGCTATGTAGCTCATGGCTCGTGTTCTACCACTTGAGCCGTTCCTCTAGTCCAGACGTACATTCCCACTCCTGCTGCACTGCGGTGCACTTCAAATAACAGCGGCTTCTCATCTCTTTAGGGAGCTGACCCCATGCACGGGCGAGGGGGTTCACTGCCAGTGAATGAACAGCTCAAGCCAACATTTAGCATTTAGTGGAGTTCCACAAGTCCATCCCAGCAGATGGAGGTAACCGGCCTCGCCACTGCTAGACCTGGGTGGTCAGCCAGTGGCTTCCTACCCAAACCTGCATGTGACGCCAACACTCTTCACACCCACCTCTGGTGCCCTCCGGCACCCACACTTCCTGCCTCCCACACTTCCTGCCTCCTGAGCCCTGACCTCCCATCTCTAGACTCTGCCCAGCTCTCTCCCCTCTCCCCGTACCCGCTTTACCAGGCCGCTCCCAGCTAAGCAGCACACCTGCTTCTTGTCAAGCATTTTCATAAATGATTATTACTGATGTTAAAAAGAGGCAAACTTCTCAGTTTCATAAAACAAAAATGAACCAAGACAATTTGAAGAGCAGAAATTGTTTCAAAATCAGAATTAAGTACAAATAACATTTATGGAACTACTGGTATTTATGGGAATATTTACACAGTATTTATGGAAGGTTCTTCTGCTCCTCTAGGGCTTTAAGGCATATAAAAGAATTGAAGCAGCAACTGATTCGCTGGCGCTGATCGCTCGCTCGCTCGCTCGCTCGCTCGGAGCAGCGAGGGCGTCGGCCGCACAGGCGCGCACAGAGGAGCCCGAGGAATGCGGCCGGCTGGCCGAAAGGGAGGCAACTGAACGGCCATTGGTAATAGAGAAGAGAAACTTACCTACTTCAGTGAGTTGATGTCTTTCAAGAGGTGAGTTCTTTGGATCCTTAATAAAATGAAAGGGCTGTATTTTTATTCCTTCAACTTGAGGAAATAACAGAGCAAAGCCAGATTCTCCGATCTCGATCTCCTGCGGCCGACTGCTGCCGGATCCCATTGGAGTCACTGGAAAAGAAGCGATGCTTTGCCCACAGGCTCAAAAGGGAGCACTTTTGGTTTAGAATCTGGAAATGTACATGATGAGTGCTCTGCTATTATTCTTTCTGCTTCTCTATCGACCACAAGATTTTCTAATCGAAACCCAGCAACTCAACTCCCTCATGACTGCCTAGGAGATGTTAAGAACACACACACTCTCACTGTTTTTTGGTGGTACTGGGGTTTAAACTCCAGCCCTGAGTCACACCTCCAGCCTAAGACTAGGACTCAAACTCAGGATCTTCTGTGATGCTCGCTTTCACTCATTAGCTGGCACTCTACAACCAACTTCATTCATAATACAATGGAAATGATGCAACGGCCATCAAAAAGACTGGCAAAATAACGAATGGTCTATTTAAATAGCACTCTACTAGATAATTTCTTGAATTACTGAAGTTCCCATAACATAAGTAACATTAAAATGTTACGTAGCTAGACGCTGGTGGCTCACGCCTGTCATCCTAGCTACTCAGGAGGCTGAGATCTGACGATCATGGTTCAAAGCCAGCCGGGGCAGGAAAGTCCATGAGACTCTTGTCTCCAATGAATCACCAGAAAACTGGAAATGGCGCTGTGGCTCAAGTGGTAGAGTGCTAGTCTTGAGTGAAAGAGCTCAGGGACAGCGCCCAGGCTCTGAGTTCAGCCCCATGACCGACAACTACAACAAACAATCTAAATACTAAAAACATCTTTAAAATATTTCCACTGAGTGAAAAACTAAAGGGGATGGCATTCAACAACAGGCAAAACTAACTCAGTGTGTCACAGACCTGAACAGAGCAGGAGTAGAGCGCAAGGACACCAACCCTGGCCTCTTACTGTTAACACCTTCTCATGTGGACAGGCAAAGTGAAGACTCATCCCTCTTGCACACGGCGGAGACACAGATCTCACATTTGCCTTGAGATCTGAGACACTGACCATGATGATGCATCCAGCCCATGATGATGCATCCAGCCCATCATGATGCATACGGCCGAATACAACGCCATGGCAAATGGCACCATTGCATTTTGGACAACCACAAATACAAATGTGCCTCTTGGCTAAAATGAACTGACCGTTGCCAGGACTGGCCACTGAGCAAGGAGCAGGCGCGCCGCTGCTCTTCTCACCTACGATTCCCGGGGTCACGATGCCCAGGACTTGGCACTGCTTTGGAAACAGCTTCTCAAGTGCGAAGGCGGTCTCCATACTTGTCCTTTTCCTTGCTGATAGAGAAGCACAATTATTAAATATCATCCGTGGAGGGCCAAGTATGACAATGTAAAGAAGACAAAAACAGCATTATGCACTAGCAGAACACTACAAGAAAGTCTTGGGTTCGATTCCTCAGCACCACATAAGCAGAAAAAGCCAAAAGTGGTGCTGTGGCTCAAGTGGTAGAGCGCTAGCCTTGAGCTGAAGAGCTGAGGGACAGCGCCCAGGCCCAGAGTTCAGGCCCCACGACTGACCATATTTTCAACATCACTGTCAGAAAGAGGCCTGGGGTGTGACTGGACTGCAGCCCAAAAAAAGGAGGTATAAAAGGGTTATTCTGGGGTCCCACTCCCAGTGTGGCTTGGGGGGGTAAGGTGCCAGCCAGTGAGCAAAAGTGCCAGAAACCAAGTTTAGGGCCCACTGTCAGACTCATTCTGAGTGAAACATAACATGTGCACGCCCGAGTACCACAGCGAAGCCCCATGGAGTGACTAAGACACATTAAAAAAAAAAAAGGACAGCGCCATAATGGTGGACGGCGGGGCTGGGGAGGGAGTGGGGACCAACCTGGTTGAAAGCTGCTGAAATCCCGGGGGACAGGGATGTGCGAACGTGCGGCTGTGGGCTAGAATCGGGGGTGCGACGAAACCCCTGGAACTTCTCACCTTCTCTTTTCTTTCTGTACTGGGGCTTGAACTCAGGGCCTGAGTGCTGGACTTCTGTTGCTCAAGGCTGGTGCTCTACCACTTGAGTCACAGCTCCACTTTTGGTGGGTTTTTTTGGTAGTTCATTAGCGATCATAGACTTTGTTGCCTGGGCTGGCTTTGCGCCATGATCCTCAGATGGCAGCCTCCTGACTCGCTGGGATGACAGACTGACACCCAACCGCACCTTGCTCATTTGATACGCACCTCTCTTGTGGCCATGACACTCCTCCAGACCAATGAAGGTCTCCGAGTCCGCCATGTAGAGAACCGTGTGCGGTAAGATGTGGACATGCTGAAAGGAAAGCCACGGGATTGGATCTGGGAGCTGCAAACACCCATGGTGCCCTACCTCCCTGTGGGTCCGTGCAGTCACTCTGAGTCTGCCCACATCCCATTCCCAGCCCACCCAGGCTCTGGTATTTCCAGGTGATTTACTGAGCACCTATTACATCCTCAAATCCACCTCATGTTCATTTTCATAATGGAAATTAAAGATCTTACAACATTTGTTTCACTGGAACAGACGTGTTGGTAAACAGGCTCTAGATGTGTTCTGATGGCCTCTCAAGCCTTCTAGCCTTGCCGGCTTCCTGGGGGTCCCCAGGACACCCCCCCAGACACACCCACTTCTGCACGTGTTTCCACCACTCTCTTCCCATTTCCTGGCCAAGTCCTGGTGGCTTGCACCTGTCGTCCTAGCGACTCAGGAGGCTGAGATGTGGAGGATGGAAGCTTAAGGCCAGCCCCAATAGGAAAGTCTGTGCAGCCAAAAAGCAGGGCTGAAGGCTTGGATGAAGTGGTACAGCCCCAGCCAAACAAGTGGAACAAGCAAGCCTAATGTCCTATGTTCGGTCCTGGAAACTGCACAGCCGCCCCTCAGCGCCCAGGGCCCAGGACCTCATGGCCCAGGTTCTTATCCAGGCCCTGCCTCTTTTCCCAGCAGGGCAAGTTAGAATGACCACTTTGCTACTCAGTCAGGCACACTTTGCAGACAAGCGGCAAAAGGACAGAATTACAAGAAAAGGATGAAGACTTTCCCTCAAACGCGTTCCCTGTCAGAATGAAATGACGTTCGTCCTATACCGCAAAGCTTCATTGTTGGTGAGATTAAAAACATAGTACGTGACTGCTGTGATGCGGGGAAGTTCAGATGTTCCAGGCTGGATTCTAGAGACAGCATGATGGTCTGTGATGGGTCTGGGACTCATCCTGGGCCCATATTTTTAAAGTATACACTGGTGGCTGGGCACCAGGGGCAGTGCCTAGGCCTTGAGTTCAAGCCTCAGGACTAGCCCCCCATACACACGCACACAGAAGAATACATAAACTGGTTGCCAAAACTGAGAATCTGAGAAACCTTTAACAGAAAATGTGGGCTTCCTGGTTCTTTAAAAAAAAAAAAAAAATTCACATAGCTGGATGCCAGGGGCCCACACCTGTCATCCTAAGTACTCAGAAGGTTGAGATCTGAGCGTTGTGGTTCAAAGCCAGCCTGGGCAGGAAAGTCTGTGAGACTCATCTCTAATTAACCACCAGAAAACCGGAAGTGGTGCTGTGGCCCAGGTAGAGTGCTCGCCTTGAGCCCAGGCCCCAGAGTTCAAGCCCCACAACCGACAGGGAAAAAAAAAAAAGTTAACTTTTTTGGCTATAAAAGTACTCTTCACAAGCTGATCTTGGAAACACAGAAAATAGACTATATAGTCTATATATATATATAGTCTATATATATATATATATAGTTTGCAGCTACATATATGCTTTTTAAGGCTACTACTGTATGAACTGCAATACTGTTCAACATCCACTGAGATCCACAGTCCCAGGACTGTGGGCAACGTGTTACGTCCACACCTTTCATTATGAAGTCCCCACAACTCTATAAGGATAGGGGGAAGTTATTGGGGTTTTTGATTTGATGGGAATTAAAGCAGCTGTCTGGGATCAGAGCAGTGATGATGGTCATCCATACCAAAGCGGGGCTTCCCAGACAGCGGAGCTACAACAGCTACTGCAACTTTAAGCTGAAAGCCACAAAGTTTATAAAAGCACATTTCTATCTCCAAAAGAAAGGCTAACATTTTGACTTATTGCACCTCATCTTTATTACTCCAACTAACGCTGAACAATCTGTGCTGTACAGCATTTCTTCACCCTAACATACACCTAGCAGATTACATCTAATGTCTTTATTAAGTACTGGGTTGTTTTCAATTTCCCTTATTGCAAATGACCTCCAAGCAACACCTGGAAGGGGGCGGGGAGGCAGAAGAGGAAGGGAAGGGAAAAGGGGGAAGAAGTTCAGAAAGAAAAGCTTGAGCAACTTCCTGGCCAGAGAAACTATTTTTTGGTTTTTTTTTTTTGGGGGGGGTGCTAGTATTAGGACTTGAACTCAGAGCCTGGGTGCTGCCCTTTAGGTTTTTTCCACTCAAGGGTGGTGCTCTACCACTTGAGCCACAGCTCCACTTCCAGGAACCTTTTGGTGGTTCTGGAGGTTAGAGCCGCACGGGCTTTTCCTTCAAAGGCCGGTCTAAAACCGCGCTTGTCAGAGCAGCCAGGATGACAGGTGTGAGCCTCTGCCCTGCCGCTGGCTTTTCTTTGAAGCCATTCTGGAGAATCCTTGGCTGCAACGAAACTGACCCATCTCAGCGGAGTCTGAGGACGGGGCAGGATGGCAGTGCCGGGTGGGAGGCGGACTGTGCAGAGAGGGCCGGGAGGCAGGGGAGGGCCCAGGCTTCGGGGCAGACCTAGGCTGGGGGAGGCCATGTGCTGCCTGGAATGACCAAAGCTCAGTACAAATCCTACAGGGGATGGGAGTGGCGGCAATGGACCCCACCG